CCCCTCGGCCAAGGCGAGTTGTAGAGACCCCTCGGTATTGGATCGCGCTTCATCCATTTGCGAAATTCTTTGGAATCTCACTTGTTCTACACGGGTCGTAGAAAATGTAGGTCGTAGAAAAAGTAGGTCGTAGAAAATGTAGGTCGTACAAAAAGAGGTCGTAGAAAATGTAGGTCGGACAAATGGTTTTGGGTCGGTCCGAAATCGCCGGGTCGTAGAAACGCGGGTCGTACAAACGATATAGACCCGGCTCACGCTTGTAGGTGTGTATGATACCCTGGCCCCACACGTTCTGTTTGGACATCATGGTGTACATAGCTATGTTGAGCAGTCGAACGGTCTCACATTCAACTTTTAATAGTAGGTGTGCGATTGAGCCACATATGCTATATCATAAATTAAAAAAAAAAAATCTTCTTGATGCTCTCTGCTTTTGCTCGATGCAAACAATGATAAGAGCTAGGGAGAGTGCACCAAGAAACGTGACGTATGCCATCTTAGTTTTTCCAGTTAGATGTTATTGTTGGTTCCTCCCTGTCGAAAACAATCGGTCGAGAATTGTCTTATCAAATAATAATTTTTAAAAAAACGAGTTTTGAAACTTTTGAAAGTGCGTATCTTTCTTATAAGTTACATTTTGTGTTACGAAGGAGATTTCTTTAAAACAAGAGAAAAAGTCATCATGATTTTTCAAGTAAACCGATTTTTTAGGTGTAGTTTCCCACACCTGGGTAGCATACTCTCATACCAACACGTGTTGTTTTGTGATGCAGCGGTGTTAACGTTTCGCGAAAAAAACGCCCGAAGCATGAAGTAATTAATTATGGTCTTATGTCCAATTCAAGAACAAAACAGTTATTACTATACAATCCGATTTTTTTTTCAACAACTCGTCGCTGCTTAAACAAGTGTTGTAATGTTCGACCTGGATTGCACATTTTCCATTTGTAAAAATCTGTGACTTGGGAACATATTACTTTGTTCTTCTGTGAGATGGGTTTCATTACGATGTCACCAGGTGATCCCTTCATTTGACAGTGTGCAACAACACAGTAAAACGGCACAACACGGGGCCGTCCGTCCGCGCGCCTTCCTCTGCGCCCGACCGTCTACTGTGTGTCGCTTTATCGTAATAGCGGCGGTAACGCCGTGCAACCGCTGCTGCTGCCCGCCGCCGGCGACCTGCCCGCGCAGGCTGCCCCCACCGCAACGAAAGTAAAAGCACCTTCGCCTTCCTCG